AAAAAAGATGTGAACTTTTGTTCAGTCATAAAACCATCTTCTGCTCTGACAGCAGCAGCTGATAAGTTCAGCAGACAGAAGCTCATTGTATGGCAGGCAGATATTACATTTATTTGGCTTCACCACACTTACATTCTAGTTATTTGAAGTAGTTTTATGACAGGACTATGTGCAGCTTAAGGTCCTGTCACACTATAACATTTTACATTAACTTGTGAAAACTTATTTATGTCTAAATGACTAATTTTACTTGAAGTTGTGGTTATAACATCCACTTTATTTTCATATGGTTGAAAATTTGAGACGTTTTTTGTTTGTTGTTGAAACTGTTTTTTGTRCTTCTGTTATGTTCMTTTGCAGTACAGCAAAAATACTGGCTTTGATTATGATGAYAGTTTTCTGCTAAATAAATGCTGTAAAAACTACATTTTCTTTGCTTTTTATGATCATTTTCTACAGCGATACATACAGTTACTGTGAAGGGATTTAATTTTTACCCTGATATGAACTTCATACCGCCCAGCCCTAATTTAGGGCTTGATCTTCTGATTCAGACAACTCTTCTTGTTCTTTCTCCACTGAAGCAGATACTTAGTGCTTTGTCCTGATCYCCAAGTTTCAAACCTAAATAAGCACGTTTTATGAAACTTGTGACTGGATTCCTGTTAGACACAAGGGTGTATTCTWACAGAATACATCAGGTTTATTTCTGAAAGATCTTCTGGTTGAAGCCATTTWGTTWTTATACAATATAGAGGCTTTTCACTTTACTCTTACTAAAATGTTACGACCAGACGTGATATCACTCATTAAATTGTAGTCTGAATAAATAATTTCATTTCTAGAACGTGAAATAAATAAAATTGAAATGAAATAAAAAATGCATGTAAACAGAAAAAAATCAAGATTTGCTTCAAGCTCAAAAAGTTGACCTGATGGAGTAAAAAAAAATGTGATTTTTAGATCCAGCTTATTGAAATATTACTAAGTCAGCAATTTTGTGTGTGTGTGTGTGTGTGTGTGTGTGTGTGTGTGTGTGTGTGTGTGTGAGGCTGCACTCACACATGCTGAGGTGCGTTGCTGTACGAGCCGTGCTCCAGTTTCTGCCAGCGGCCCAGGTGGGCGGCGGAGCGGTGCAGCAGGTCGCAGTAACTGGGCGGCAGCAGCTGGCTCATCAGCATCACGAAGGCGTTGATCCACACCATGATCAGGTGCTCACAGGACCAGCGCATGTCGTAGTACTGGGTGCTCTGTGGGGGGTGGGGGTGGGGGTGTTAGTGTAACAAACCGGGCTGCGAGGCATCCGAGACGAGGAAGAACCGACCTTAACAAAGCACAGAGGCAGGAAGGCCACGTAGTAGGCACTGAACAGAGAGTTGAACAGAACCTCCTTGATCCTCCGGTTGAAGTCGCTCTTCAGCTCCTCCACCTCGGCCCGGATCAGCTCCGGCGTGTCGGGGCAGGTGTGGGTGGGCATGTGAGGTGGGCTGGAGAACTGCTCCCTCAGGTTCTCTCGTAACAGGAAGAGGAAGTCCCGCGGGCGGAACAGCGGCGCCTCCAGCAGCTCGGCCTGCTGGGGCTCCGGGTACTCGCAGTCGGGCGTGGCCGCTTGGCTCTTCCCGCCCTCCTGGTGGAAGCAGCAGAGCGGGACGTAGACCCCGAACCTGAGCGGCCGTGGACAAAACAAAGCGTTTCAGAGGATCATAAAGTCATAAATATGGAACAGGATCAGACGCATTAAGCAGAGCTCCATCAGTGCAAACAGAAACYAAACAAACAGGAAGTCATTCACTCAGAGCAAACATCAAACACGTCTGAAAACCACTACAGCTGCTGAGAAATAAAGACGGAAACAAACAAACAGATGAGTGYTTTCCTCACAGCTGCCATCATTAACCACCGGAGACAAAAATAAACGATTCAGATCAGAATCTGACTGATTTTCCTCTTATTGACTCAAACTAGAGAAAGATTCCTGTAAAACAGAGATTCTTAACCTTTGGGCCGCGAGCGCCACCTTGAGGGCCTCAAAAGAATAACAGTTTTTAACTTTGGGCCGAAGAGGGCCTTCGCACTAGCCCTCACGCTATATTGCCTTGTATGTATTAGCTCGGTGCTAGCACGACAAACAAGCTAAACTGAGGTCCTCCATCTATATTTTCAGTTGCAGCTGGAGTCATTTTTGTGTTCCCCTCTCTGTCATGTGGATGGAGGACCTCAGTGATGAGAGGAGAATGTGTAGCACTGAGCTAATACATATATATGGTGATAGCATCGGGGCTAATGCTAAAGCTAACAGGCTAAGCTGAGGTTGTTCTTCCATGAAGCAGCTCTGTTGTCCTCCATCCATATTTTCAGTTCCAGGCTGAGTCATTTCTACCTTCTCCTCTCTGTCAACGCTCTCTGGTTTCATTTAAAAGAGTCGATCATCAGATATTGTCCAAGATTAACCTTCAGGGTGGATATAGCTCGCTAGCAGCCTCGCACCGAGGACCTATCCACGTCATCATTTACCCAGAATGCTTTGTGTGGAAATAAAATGGCTCCGTCCGTGTTAAAATATATTTTTAAACTTTTAGTTTAAAAATTATAAAAACTGAACATCCTACAGTATTTTTAAAGTCTTTATTTTACAGTCAAAGTATATGTTTATCATATAAAGTCTAATGTTACAACTAATCGGGGATCCCTTTAAACATTTGCACTTAGAATACTTTTCAGTAAACTATGAGTCTTGTACAATTCTGATTCAAATAAAAAACTTTGTTTACTTGATTGTTAACTAACTACTATTTTCGTGTTAATATTGCCTTAATGAACAATGATTTTTTTAAATTAACCCATAAAACTCTGATGTTAAATGCGACATGGTTGAAAATGTCGGTGCACCTAATGTTTGTGCTGGTGCACCTAAGAAAAAMTGTTAGGCGCAGTGGTGCATCCAGTGCAAAACGTTAGTCTAGAGCCCTGAAAACTAACAACCCAGACTGGAGAGAAGAATCTGATGTTTATTAAGGTTATTTCGAGTCACAATCAGAGACATGAAGAAGAGTCAGAGTTCAAATAACACTGTTTCAATAAGCAAAGACCAGAGTTTTCTTAAAGATTTCCCCTTTGATGTCACTTCCTGTTTCACTTTGGCTGAGTCAAGTTCAAAAGAAAATATGCAGTTATGTGACATAATGGGTTAAATTATGTGTATTATTCCAGCTTTCTTAWATATRAAGATGTTTTCTTTGACTTTTTGTGTTTGAAGGATAGGCATGTGTCAGGCACTTTAAGCAGTCACGTTAGGGCTTTTATTTTGACAGGTTGCTCCGCGTTAAAAAGCTAAAGCTTTCATTTTGTTGTGAAACTTCTGGGACGATAACAGCAACGTTTTTCAGATTGTCTGTGAAYTCTCCAGCTGTGGAGGAAGACGACGAGGACCTGGACTATAACGAGGAAGATGAGCAAACTCACGGAGAACTGGAGGAAACGAGGTGAACTAGTGTTAGCATGAATGCTAATATCAAAGCTAAGGCTTACACAGACTAAGAAGATGTAAGATGTCAGGTCAGACAGGTCAGCAGAACTTATCTAACACAGATATGAGGGTTGGAACGCAGCACCCTGTCAGGACTCACGGGTATCCCAGGAACAGCAGGTTGAGCACCGAGTGGTTCCGGCACAGGTTGACCAGAGTCCAGCACAGAACCCAGCCACACAGGGTCAGCAGGCTGAGCCGAGCCGYGATCAGAACCACGTACCGGAGCAGAGAGCCTCCGCTGCTCTGAGACACCTGCAGCCAGGAGACACGCAGTCAGGAGGGGACACGGACACACGTCCAACTCTGGACACACCTGTTTACCTCTGAAACGATGGTCCAAACCAGCCTGCGGGCCAACATGACGGTGATGAAGATGGCTAGGTGGTAGTCCATCAGGTGGAAGTTCTGCAAGGAGGAACAACAAAGTTTAGAACTACGAGACACCAGTGTCCCAAATAATGTTTTTCAGACCCGAGTCATCTCTGATGTTTTTACTGCTTTGAACTGAGAGCTAAAACTTGTGTTCTGAGCTTCAGACACCACACCGCTAGTTTAGTCGTTAGCGCTAACCATAGCGATTAGCTCGCTGTTTATGAAGCAGATGTTTTTATTCAATATTTGTTATTAAGTATATTTTTCTTATTTACAAACACAAACYGTAGTGTTTTTCAAGAGGTCTGGAACTGATTCATGACATTTTAATTCATATCTATGAAGGAAAACTGATTTGAAATACGAGTAATTAGAGTTACGAGCTCGGTCACAGAACAAATTAAACTCTCGAGTCAGAGCACCGATGTCCAACGAGTACGGCTGGGTATCATGTCCAATTCTCTAGATCGATTTGATTTGATTCATAAGGTTCTGAATCGATTAAAGACGATTCAATTCGATTTTAAATAATGAAAATGGTTCAACTGTGTTGCAAAATACAATTTCACTATTTTTTCTCACAGGCAGCCTGTGGTACCAACCACGTACAAAAAACACGGGAAAGGGGTATTTTATGTTCAGACACAGACCAGCACAGATCAGTGTTTAGGGGGTATTTCCACCATATCCGTAGAAAAGGTGCATCTTTTTACACTTGTGCTTCTTTCCGGGCTGGACTTGACTGATAAATCCCCCCTCCTCCCTCCGGTTAGTTTTAACCGGGGGCGTGGTGGCAACATGTACGTTTGGTAAGATTCCCGAACCGCCGGTCCGTTCAATAATACTGGACACTTCAGAAAACACTGCTGCCGCTCAGCTCCTGCGTGGCACCGCCCCCACGGGCGCAGCCGGTGGAACAGTTAAACACGACGCGAGCAGCCTGTCATAACATGAAGCTGAAAAAAATAAGACAAGGGGAGAGCGGGTAAAATGAACAAACATGTCGAAAAGAAAAGATGAAGAGATGGATGGAGCAGAAAAAGACAGGGTTAGAGGAAGATGCAGCCAAATTAACAGAGCTTTTCCGAGGTGGAGGGACCAAATCATGAGTACAGGTTAGCAAACACTGCATGTTCCTACCATCCAGACTTGATTTATGTGTTTCTGGATGTGTTCAGGGCTCACAGAACATTATCAGGAATGTTTCAACATACCTGCATAAATCTTTAATGTAAAAGAAAACATATTTCAGGAAATAGTCGGTTTTCTTGTTCTGTTTCTGCAGGGATAGTATTCAGCTATTCTTGCTCAAGAAAATTACCGTATTTTTCGGACTATAAGCCGCGACTTTTTTCCTAAACTTTGAACCATGCGGCTTATAGACCGGTGCGGCTTATTCATGGATTTTTTTTCTTCAGCCACCAGCGGGCTCTTATGCTCCATTTGCTTCAACCACTCACTTCAAAAAAAAAAGAAAGGAAAAAAAGAGAAAAAAAGCGATCGCTTCCAGAGCCGACTGTTGACCAGGAAGCAGCGATTTAAAGATAGTCAATGGCCAAAAACTCATAAAAGGGGATAAAACAGACATTTTTCACGGTGGAATCTGACTTTCCCAACAGCTGACTGACGGGGATAAATCATTCACAAAAACTGGCCGAATGCGAAGAGCGACATTTCCTGATGT